CAACCTTCGTCTAAAGTACAACGAGGAAGTGGCCAAGGGCCAACCAGGGCAACCTCTCAACATTGAAGAGCAGGAGCCGAGGATGGATCACATCAGTGTTGATTTTCCTCACTTCAGAGCCATCTGTGACTCGGCTGAGTATTATTCGATGTATATCATCGTTCTGGACCTCCTTCTCTATAGTGAACCACTGGAAAAGGTCCGCAATGAACGCTTGGAGAGGATCATGCTCACGTCCGATTTCAGTGACTTGAGGGGTGCTCCGGAGATGGTATTTAAACTCCAAGCCCGCATTCGACAACTAGAGGAGATCAAAGAGCATTTCCAGATCCATGCCAAGTATTTGGACAAGCAAGGCTGGGAAGATCGTTTGATCCTTGAGAAAGACCTTACTCAATGCGAGGACGAGCTGTTCTTCCTGATGAAAGCCATCACAAGCTCCCAAAGAAAGATTGACCCGACCATGTCGAAAGCAAATGGAGTCCTTCGCTGGAATATCTCGGCCAGTGAGGTTGTGTGGCATTTGATGAAGGATCAGTCCGAACCATTGGTCGAATTTCAGCTGAGGAATGCTGCTTATGATCGCACAGACAATAGTGACGGTTCGAACCATAATGAAGTTGCGGTCGAGCGACTGTATGGCTTGAATCTGCTTCCAGATGCGATCTATCCCCAGATCATCGTTCCTTACCTTGACCAAGCTCGCAGTCTCGACGGGCCGGATGATTATATGATCAAGGTCAAGTGGCACATGCTCGAGGCAGTTGCTGGCATACCAGTCGTGGACGATTTCGAAGTTTCTCTTTTCCCTCTCAAGGTTCAATTGGAGCAGGTGCTCGGCCAGAAGGTATTTGAGTACATGTTTCCTAATGTTGGGTCAACCGCTTTCGAAAATGGCGGGTTTTCACCCTTCATGATCAAAAACATGAAGCCTATCGATGGTTCATCTGACTCCGAGGAGGAGGAACGCCCAAAGACATCCCCTGGACTTGAACAGATCGATATGTCGACAGACGATTTGTCCTTGAAGGGGTCCGGGGCCATTGAATTAAGACTCCAGCCCACGCTTTCTCTGGCGGAGGAGGCTAGGCCTCGATCGCAGCATCGCCATCTCAAGGGCCTTGCACTGACTCCTATCCACAAGGATAAAGATCCAAATCTTTTGATGCGCCCGTCGACGAGCGGGGCGTTGAGCAAGAAGAGATCAGTCGACAGCCTACGCATGTTGTCAAGACAGCCCACAGAGAAGTCGCTAGTCAACACTGCCGGAACGAATTCCACTGGCGACGAAAAGTCAAAGAAATTCGCTCTTGGAAGACCCAGCAAAGGCAAATCCAAGGAGACTCCGGATGACCTGGCTCAGATGATGTCACGTGCATCGAACTATATGACGTTGGCTCATGTCAAGGTGCACGACGTGGTGCTCTGCCTGAGTTACAAAGGCAAGGGTGACCACAATCTGGAGGATCTTCATGACTTCGTCTTCCGATTGCCGGTGCTTGAGTATCAGAATAAGACATGGTCGAACCTGGATCTGGCTCTGCGCCTCAAGAAGGACGTTATCAAGGCTCTTATCTCGCATGCACCTGCGATTCTTGGCAACAAGTTCTCTCATCATCGACCTTCCAAACAGCAGCAGCAACAACAGAAGCGGTATCGCGAGCTTGTAAGCTCATCCCAGCTTCTACATAATTCAGACAGTGTTGTGCAATCGACGTCTGAGAAAGCCAGTAGCCTGGCCAGTATCGACTCAAACAGTGAATATTCGGAGTCACAACGCTCCGGACATTCGGGGACTTTGCCGCTTGCGCGGTCAAACTCACTCGGGTCTAGCATGCTCAGCGTTAATGAACCGAGTGGGGTGATCTCTGATTCTCGGTCGGCGAGCGAGGTTGATGTGGATGCTCGTTGGGAAGTATGTACTGCCCAAAGTCAATCAGTATTGAGAAACCTTGCTGACTGGTCATGTAGCAATCTCGCCGACTTGTCAATCCTCCCAGCAGACCAATGACGTCGGGCCAAGCTCTGCCTCGGTCTCAGACCACCAAGCTCTGGGATGGACCGGAAGAAAAGTAAGCTTCTATGAACTGTACGGAACACATCTTTGGGCGAAACTGATTCTTTCGTAGTAGTTCCAGCCACAAGACCGCATCAATCCGCAACTTTGGCCGCAAACTAATGCCTTCTCGGAAATAGTCTCCCTGCCTCATAGCGGAAGGCATACGTTCGAACATCACACCCCTTCCAGGATCCCTTATTTCATTATCCTGTTCTCCTCGTTAAGACCTCGCTTGTTGCACATTCCTGACCTTGCATTTGCCATGTGATACCCCCAATGCAGTGGGTCGTATATAGGCGTCGGCACATCGGTATGCTTTTCTTGCCATGGAGTCCGTTCATAATACCAGGAGTTTATCTGGGGATCTCGTTGTTGTTTCCCGCCCCCTGATTTTGCCATCCATCCTTGTTGATTTTCTCTCCCCGTACAAAACCTTTATTTAACCCTAATTTCTTCTCTCTTCGAAAATATCTTTTCTGCATGTACCATTCTTGTTCTTTCTTTTTTTTCAGACCCTAGACGCTAATCGCAGGTGTATATCCTTTGCATGTGCAGGGTTATGTTTACGGCCGTCTACGGAGTTGCATTTGTGGGTGATGCGCGATATGAGCGCATTGAACATATGGTGTGTGGTATGGTTTTGTGGGTATATATCAGGATAGACGGTGCAATAAAAAGGTACTCTGGGTCAATACTATTTATTTCTGCCATGATATACAGCTCTTCATGATACGCGATGTTCAGAAATCTCCTTGCCCATGACGGTTTGGGGCTGTTGGCACTGCGTTCCTCTATGGGATGTTGCGTAGCAAGTGACTCTATAGCAGCCCCCCCTCCCCCCTCCCAACTTGGTCTATCCAATGCATGTCGATACTACTCCTCTCTTCCTACCCCGACCATCCCCAACGCCACCTCACTCAACCCCCGAAGCTGCTTCCACCTCTCCAGCAACATCTCAAGTCTACCCCGCTCCCACTCCGGAGACCGCACGGCGGCCGGGGAGGACACAACAGCCAGAGCAGCAGTACTCCCATCATCCTTCCCCTCTATACTTTCACCTCCGTCCCCCACGCAGCCCCGCAAATCATCTCGGGCTATCATCGCCTCCTCAATCCGCCCGATCACCGCCTCGCATTCCCCCCGATACACCTCGATCCACCCCCGAACCACCTCCGTGGCCCGTTCGCCCGAGAACCCCCGCCGCGAGCGTCCCGTGATCCAGAGTTTCCAGTCGCGGCGGCTCATGGTTTTCAGGGCGGCTGCTGCTTGGATGTTTCTGGGGATGGTTGAGATTTGGGATGTGAGTTCGAAGTTTCTGAGGTGGGTGGTTAGCTTTCCCCCTCTTTTTGTTTTGCGGGTATCAAGATGGATTGCGGGGGGGGGTAGGGCCTGGCCTTACCCGAATAAATCCTGCCCGATGAGGTCTTTCTTTTGCTCGATGGTGAGGTCTTGGAAGATGATATCGTCGAGGTAGATGCTATCTGAGGGGTTGGTGGGGAGGAAGAAGCCATCTTTTTTTTCTTTGGTTAGATTGTGTCTCTTTCAATGGGGGCGGACTAGGGGCTAAGTTAAGGGCTAGGGAAGGGGGACAGCATACATTCGACGAAGAGGAAGTCGTTGGAGTGGGAGCCGTAACTCATGAAGATTTCTTCGTTTTGGTCTGTTTTTTTTTGGAATGTTTGTTGTTAGATTGTGTGGTTTCTTGTAGTTGGTGTTCGTGTTGTTGTGGGGGCTGCGTACCGTATTGTCGGGTTGCTTTGAAGAGATAGTTCTCGCCGGTCCAGATGACTTCGCATGCCTGTTTCGATAAAGAATGTCAGGTGTTTGGTGAGGTAGAGGTAGGTGTTGGGTTGGGTTGGGTTGGGTTTGAGTGCGTAAGGGCTGGCTGGCTTACCGCATCGTCGTCGTGGTTGAAGTAATCCGCAAATGGGACCATGGCGATAGCATCATTCCAGTCCGCCGGCTCCGCTTTGCCCGGCGAGACATAGTAGAAGCTCCGCGAGTTGATGATGAACCAGTAGTAGGCGAACGTGCTCCAGTCAATCTCGGGGTATACGGTGCGCACATGTGCCCATGCGGCCTGCAGCCGGTTCTCCTGCTGGCTCAGCAGGTTCTGGTATCTGGTTTCGTAGTCTACGCCTACTGGTTCTTTCTGGAAGGTATTCCAGAGTCCGGAGATTGAGGGGAATAGAAGGCTTGATGGTGCTGCTGACGAGGAAGACTCGCTGCTGCTGTCGCCAGCTGCTTTCTCGAAGGCGGAATTGGACCGGCGGAGATGCTCCGGCCAGAGCACGGGCATAGTGTCCTCGAACTCGCGAAAGCTGGGCCAGACCTTGCGCCAGGGCTCTAGCTCCTTGAGTAAGGCGGCGTCTCCGTGGCTGAGAAATGCAGCGAGAATGCAGTGGATGGATGAGCCTGAGGGGAATTGCTCCACGAATGATGAGGGGATGGAGTCGATGGTCAGCATTGCTGATACGGGCACGCTGAGCATGACCTCATTCTCCTGCAGCTGTATTAGCATAGACCAGAAACAGTGGGCATGATTCATCAATCATGGGGGTGTTTAGGGCATGGGTTATAGGTATAGTACATACTTCTATCGTCCGCGTCGCTTTCATGCCCAGGCGTCGGCCGGGGAATCGCGCTGGAGTGATGCCGTTTATCGTCACGCCTTGGGACTTGGCCCATCGCATGAACGCAACATGTTCCTCGCCGGGAGACTCGTCCGTTGCCATCGTCAGTCTGTCCTCTAGCCACTTTTACCGCTGTGTATGTCGAACCGAACTCAAACAAGACATTGCGTGGATGCTTGTAGTTCTTCACGGCGCGATTAGGTAAGCGACATACGAGAGCGTTCCTGCCTGAGGCCTGCAAGCAGCTCCGCGGACCTGCCCGTGCAGATTCGATATCCGCATCAAATCCAAGGCTTCTTGCGCGCAACCTTTTTTTTTTATGTTTTCTTGTGGTCGACATTGCGAAACACAGTCTCGCCCTCCTCCCCCTTCTCGCCTTCATCTCACAACATATCCACAATGACCGACCCAGCCACCACCCCGCAAACCGCGCCGGACGCAAAGATCGACCCCGCGGCCTCCCTCCGCTACTGGAACAGCGTGCCCGCCAACGCGAACGTGATGCTGGGCATGCTCGGCCAATACCCCTGGTACACGCGGATCGACCTCCGGGGCTCGAGGACCTTCCTGAACAAAGTCCGCCGCCTGATTCCCGACTGCCCGACGGAGGGCAAGCTCGCGCGCGGGGTCGACTGCGGCGCGGGCGTCGGCCGCGTCACCGCGGGCCTGCTCGCCCACGTCTGCACCACCGTCGACGCCGTCGAGCCCGTCGACAAGTTCATCCAGCTCATCCGCGACTCCTCCCTCAAGCGCGACGGCGTCGTCGGCGACATCTACACCTTGGGCTTGGAGGATTGGCACCCCGACAAGCGCTACGATCTGATCTGGACGCAGTTCTGCGTGGGCCATTTGACCGATAGGCAGCTGGCGGAGTACTTTGTCCGGTGTCGCGGGGCGCTGACGGAGACGGGCGTGCTGGTCGTCAAGGAGAATCAGTCGACGGATCCCCGCGGGGAGGATATGTTCGATGAGGAGGATAGTAGTGTGACGCGCACGGATGAGAAGTTCCGGGCCCTGTTCAAGGACAGTGGGCTGGCGGTGGTGGCGTCGGAGTTGCAGTTGGGGTTCCCCAAGAATTTTCGGCTGTTGCCGGTCAGGTTTTATGCGCTGAGGCCGGTTTGAGTGGTTACCCTTGGGCGGGGTTGAGAAGGGATTATGAAGGGTTTGGGTGAAGGGCAAAGCATTGAGGTGGTTTCTCGGCTTGAAGGGGAGCTGGGATGGTCACAGCTGACTGGGTAGAGACGGTAATTGTCGACATCAGCCGATCTGATCCCTGGCATTTGCTTCCGCCAGATGCTAGGGCCATTTGTGAGCCTGCCACGGTGGTGGTCGTCGTGTCGACTACATCTGCACATGGCATCCCCGTCACGGCACCTCTCGATCATGTCACGATATATACGAGACTCGGCCTATGCGTGTATGTTTCCTAGGAAGGATTGACGATGGCACGAGTGCAACGAAGAAAGAACTAACCAGAATTGAGGGGATGGGTTGTTTGCTGCTGGCGGCAAAGTATATAATCTTGTACAATCTTGGTATTATGATTCCATTATCTAAAAGCAAATGTCCCAAGCCGAGAATAATAAGTCTAGGTATCCGAACACAAGGCGCAACTATCAACAAGTCGCTTTGAAAAAGAAGTAGGCTTGGGTATCTTTATGTACAGTAACATGTCGGCGCAGCCGTCGTAAATCTCATCATGAACTTTTTTCGTAATCTTCACGTTTTTTGTGCAATTGTTGGTTTGATGTGACTTCAATAGTCCCTGATCCAAGCTCATCTTGAGTGTGCTCAGACTTGTCGAAGTCGGATGGAAGAACACCGTTGTAATATGTCGAAGCAAATGTGGTTACGTCCAGGTAGACGGAAAAGTATCGTAACCCTGCAAGAGTTACTCAGGATTGAGCGGATGGGCTTGATGGCGCAGTTTCCTTTTCGCGGCCCCAAGGGAATAGATTCGGCAAACGGTCATGAACACTTTCGAGTCGTGTCCGAGCGGATGGCGCATTCGGGTCGTCGGTATACGCAATGCCTCCTTCACCGTGGTTTGCGCCCCACGATTGTCTTTCGCGTCGAAGATCACTCTGAACCCATGGGATAGTGATCAAAGTCCAGACTCCAGCCCAGGCGAATGGAAGCGTCCAGCCCAGCTTAAGAGGCTCATTAGTCATAATCGTCATACTAATGGGGAGTGGACAGACTTACAGTATAGGCAACCGGCTCCTCCACGGTGAATATGATCGCGGTGATAGCGGCAGCGCATATGATGGATCCTCCGGTCCAGAAACAGTTCATCTGAAACAGCATGCGGCGGAAGTATGGGCTGGAGAGGTACCGCGTGCGAAGGGCGTATCGATAAATCTGACCACCACCTCCATCCACGGCAACCACATCTTCAATGAGCACATACAGGGCGGTGGGCATTGTTGAGCCTTTGGGCGTGGAGGAGATTCGGAAGGGTGCTTTCACACCACATGCGCGCAGGATGTCAAGGGTGAGGTAGACACCACCAAAGTAGAACATAACGGTTGGGAGGACCATTGCAACGAGGCGCACTAGTCATTCACAAATGTTAGCCAGAGTCAAAGGCACGACGAACTAAGATCAACTTACCGTAGGGCTCTTCCGGTACAGTTCCTCTGAGAGAGGTTAGCTGTTATCCAATATCCCTGCCGACTATGCCACTTACACAATCAACTCAATTGCGAGGATCAACCAAACGATAGTAAAGTTGATGTGGAAGAAGTCGAGCTGCATGAGAGTCAGTATGACCCATAGCGTTGGCAAGCAAGTAACATACCCATCCTTTCGGGGCATTCAAGGGTCGAGCGCGAGAATCTTTGCGAAAGAGATTGTATAACCGATAGAAGTATTCGAAAACCGAGATACCTCCCAAGGACGCAGTCACAATACTGAAGACTGGACGGCAAAACAAATCAATAAAGATCGGGAGGGTCGGGAATGCGCAGGGAGACTGAGAACTTACCGACGTTGTGAGAGAGGTCGGTGAGATACCATAGACACCAATATAGGATGAGCGGTTGAGCCATTGTATCGATGATGAAGAGAATCCAGAAGAACGCGATCGACTTCTTCCTTGTGCGCAAAGAGTAAGGGAGCTGCGGAGGCTCTGAGGGCGCCGTCCCGGCGGTTGCTTCAGTATCATCCATGATGGGTGGCTAAAAGCGGCACGTAGTAGTCGGCTCGATCTGTCAATCAGTTGTTCTGTGATGTGATGGGTGTTTAGATTGATAAAGTGGCTTCCGAGACAATGCAAGGCATGGTGGGGTGGAAAAGGAGGATAAAAAGTAGTCTGGGTAGGAGAGCAGGTAGTATCTCTCGAATCGAATGGGATGAGAGCAGAATAACTAGACTATATGGAGTTTCGAAAGGAGGCAGTGTTCAAAGGCGAAAAAGACCCCGGAAACGACGGGTTTAGGAAATTGTTTTTCCCCCTGCCCATTGAATTCGGCGAACCGAATGGCTTTTTTGGCTGGCCGCGATGCCTGACGTAACCCCGTCGCGGTGATGTCATCCGCCCGTTCCGTCACTCTTTATTTTTCTTCTTCCTTCATTCCTTCACCAAACATCAACAGCATAAACAACCCGAACACTGCACATCCTTCAGTTGTAGACTTGGCTGATGTTATAAGAGCTACTGTTGTCTCACTCTATTGTGATTCTGTCTGGGAGGGTGCTGGGATCCAGGTTTCAACCCACAATGTCATCCCAGCGGTTCATCTGCTGGTCTGACCCGCCCACCACCGCGGGAATACGAAGTTTGCCTCCCACGCTTACCGCTGGATATAATCCGTTCTACTATAGCTTTCGTCGAAGGATTGAAGATAAGAGTACGGGGTACTACATGCACAATTAATTCTCAGATTGTCCAATATCCCTCCCATCAGATGCCCGGAGCTTTGAGCCACAGGATTAGGTATGTCTTTGATCATTGCAGCTCCACTTGGACCCTGGCCCGACCGGATGATCAGCAACCGATCGTCGGAATGCATGAAGTCATGCACAATTCTACCGGGCTGAGTAATTATGCACTATGCAGCTACATACTATACAAACAGTGATAGCCGCCCTCAATGTTGAGATAGTGGCACCGAGTAGTATGTAGCTATAATGACATGACACTTCCAACTGCGGCGGTCTTGTAAGCAAGAACACTTGGTGGGGCAAGGGGTCAGTTGCTACGAGTATTGCCTAACTAGAGTGTAACGCAGTCAACAACACACAAATTCACTTTGTCCAAGTCAAGAGAGGCATCAACACATGAGCAGTTTACTGCTTAGAATTAGTGAATGGCCGCTTGATCAAGGTCCTTCCTGATCATAACACTATGTTTCTTCTCCAATCTTCCGTGCATGTAACACTTAAGCTACTCAGTTTATCCCATCCTCCCACCACACGGGTTTTCAACCTGCTACCGAGGCCAACGATCTAAGGTCTTTCTACCTTCTACCTTCTCCTAAAGTGTATATCCTGCAACTCACGAAGGTGTCGGAACGAATTCAAGAACACCTAGAGCCAGAAGGTTAGTGCAGATCTACGGTTTCTCTAACTCATGCCTCACTTTATTCTTTAGCAGAAATGAAGGACGTACGCAGCTAATCTAACCAAGATCCGAGGTTCTAGATACCGAAACGCAATCATGTCTACCTCGGACGACGATGGGCGCACTACACCGCCTCACACTACCCTAGCCTCTGATACCGAGGCGGTCGAGGGTTCCTTGACTTCAAGCATCGAAATATCATGCCCATGGCCAGGAGGCAAATACATCATCCGCGAAACGGAGTCTAAACTCGTCATTGCGCTGAAAAATGGTGGTTTGGGCTTGTACGCTCTGCCAACCAAAGAAACCGTGGACTACGACCTGGGGTTTTACTGGAATTGTGTCGAGAATGACAAAGGGTGGCTCGGCTTGAGAAACACTGTGTCCGGGGGTTTCATAGGACTTGCTAGCGTCCAAAGCTCCAAAGCGAAAATCTCCAATGCGACCAGCCTTTATCACACAATGAGACATTCATTTTGTGCTCGTCAACATCCAGATAGCGGCTATGTACTTCTATTCATCGATACTGATGATGATGATGCACTCTTGCCGATGACGACCTCGAATGAGAGGTTGACGTTTCGTTACGGGAAAGTCACGAGATGGGAGTTCATCAAAGTTGATTCTCTTTGAGTCAACTTGAATTCGACCGGGCTGATCAATTATGCTTCAATATGTTGACATAAAACAACAGGCAGTGATAATGTTAACTTGCTCTTTGTTTCTGTGGGAAAAAAGACTGCCGGTGTAAAGTCTGCATTTGGATTCGTAAATATGATGGCTTGAGGTTGGATTTGAATTGTGTGTTGTTTTCCAAATGCCGGCTATTCCAGCTTGCTTAGGATAAGTTGAGATGACTATCTATCACTTTTCATGTACTACTGACCGACTAGAATCGACAGAATCATAGCCACCATTAAACAGAAACCAGCGCAAAAACAGTATCTACATCCCATCAAAGCATATGAGACTAACTAGCGACTGCCAAAGCGCGGAGTTTATATTCCGACCCATACCCTGCTATGGTTTCACATGGACGTGTGTATGTCCCGTCCAAACTCCCACTTCATCATTGAATCCCTATTTTTTGACTTTTCTACTACCCACACCACGAAGTACGGGATAAACTTCCACCAGCACACCAGGAAACAGGAGCAAAGTCCGAAGTCAGAAGGACAAATGCCACCGTGAAGATCAACCTCTGATGATTTGAGATCTTTACTACGAGTATGTAACGCATGCCCCACATCGAGCTCTATAGAAATGGAATACTCCATAGATGCCCATCCATAGCTAAACTTACCGAGCTTGGCTGCTTTTGTTCGAAAACAGGATGTCCACGTCGGACGACCAAGGATGCGATACTCCAACTCATACGACTCCAGCCTCCATATATGCTGACTCAACCGGCCTTCCTTCGTTTGCGAGAATACAAACATACAAGCTGTCAACTTGTCCATGAAAAGGGGGAACATTTATCATCCACGAGCCCAGGTCCAGCCTTGTCATCGCATTGAGCAATGGTGTCCTGGGCCTCTACCCGCAGAGAGAGGGCGGGAGCCGGGACACGGCTAATCACGACTTCGGGCCGTACTGGAAGTGCATGGAGAATGAGAAGATGTGGCTCGGCTTCAAGAATACGGTGTCAGCTGCCTACATGGGACATAGCGACCTGCAGTCATGCTGGCGCTTCCAAGCCACACAGTTGTCTCACGGCGAAAGGGAATCGTTTTGCACACGGCAACATCATGATGGCGGATATGTGCTCCTGGTCAAGCAGGGGAGCGGGTTTCTACCTATGAATGTTGGAGGAAAGGCTGGTACAGAGTTGGTGGTGGACAATGACCGGAAGGAACGAGGTGGCAGTTCATCCGAGTTGACTATCCTTGAGTTAACTCGGACAATTATGCCGATGTTCTGGGGCCGAGAGAAATGAGAGTCAAGAGGGCGGATACAAATAGTGCACCACTGAGCTGACTCGAAAATGGAAGTCTCTGTGTTTTAGCATATTGTCTTCAGTACTTTTAAGATGTCTCTCAGTTCATTCAATGATTTCAATTACCTTAAGGGAATAGCCAATGAACATTCCCATTCTGAGCGATGTAGCAACACATCACGTGATGGGGACAGATCTATCACGTGAGTGGATGCCCCCCAGCAATTCGGCCTCAACTTCCACCTTTTCCCTCCACGACGCCGGTTCGATTCGCGCTTTGGCCTCTACCATTTTCTTTCTCGTTTAATAAAATCTCCGTTGTCCAGGCAATGACCTGAGATCGATATCCGCTGCAGGTGATTTTTCCAAATCGAGATTGAGCAGTGCAAGGCAGTGATTATGGGGACAAAATGGCCCCAAGTCTTCGGGACCTGATTGATTTTCTGCTTGCAGAGATTGCTCTCTGCGGCGACCAAGGTTGGTGCCCTGTCAATCTCTTTTGCCTCGACGAAGTGATGCTCCACCATCACGACTACTAAAACTCAACACACTTCCCCTGCATCTTGCATGCATCCTATTGGATCAAAGCACTCCTACCTGTCGTGCCTATCTACACCTGCACGTCCCTTTTTAATCACTTACACCGTGTACCTCCCAGTGGTAAAATCAACTAATGCCTTCCAGGTGCATCGCCATCGGATATACTAAAGTTCATCGATACATTCTATGCCAGACTGGCACAGGATGCTCCTGACCGCAGCCACACCGTGGACAGACGCTTCAAGGAGAAAGTCTGGTCCTGGCTGACCAAGAACCCCGAAATCTCGGTGGGTCAGAACAGGGAAGGAAACCACCTTCGCCTGCAAGATGTCACCGGATTCTCTCGTGGTGAGTCTTCCACCGAGGCGCACGCTCCCACTTTGTCGTCGGAGCCTGCTCGCGTATTCGTCTCAAAGGAGCGAACTTGGCTAGCAGTCACCGGCCATGAGCCCGATGAGACCAAAGTCTTGCCCACCGAGTTCGCTCTTCTCTCAATTATCGCCTCGCGTAAGCACAACGGCATCGTGCAGACAGATCTGGTCAAGGCCAGTGGTCAGGACAAGCGGTCGGTACCGAAGCGAACAGACGCCCTGCATCAAAAAGGCTACATCGAGAAACGGGCTATTCAAATCAAGGCTGCTCGGACGAGTCTCTGCACCCTTCGCCGGTTTTTGACACCAGAACATGCACCTCAGTCCGATCAAGACTCTGAGCCGTCTGGGGTGAAGCTCAAGATGATCGACTTCAATGAGTTTAATGGGAAGCTCTTTGACATTCTGAGGGAATACAGGCTTATTTCTCGCAATGATCTCAAAGCAAAGCTCGGATTTATCGATCATTGGCACTGGCGAATCCTGTCCCGGGCGCTTCGCAAGTTCGAGCGCATCGGGGTCTTGAAGCGCGTGAAAGCTTTGTCTCAGTACGCGCATACACTGAAAAAATTTCATCCATGTGTCATGCTCATCCGGGAACCTACGGAAAAAGACATGGAATTATTCCATGAGTTCAGTCGAAACATCTTGGCCAATCTGGACCAGGAAGACAACGTCGAACTGGAAGACGAAATGGACCAGGAAGGTTCAGCCCGAGGATCGCAAGCCCCCCCGAATACCACGTTAGTGAAACGGGAGCAAGAGGTGGAAGACGCCGGTCGCATTCTCCCTTCTTGGAGCCCAGACCGCAACATCCATAATCTAATCTTCGAAACGATCGATAATGCGGGGACTGCGGGCCTTACCAATCAGGTAAGTCGAACGAAGGAAGCAAGGTACCTGAAAACACACTAACGCCATGAAAAGGGGATTATTAGGAACTGCTTCGGGTACTACTACCGCAGACCGCTAGAAAACGCAATTAGTCGACTTACAGATTGTTGGCAGCTGTCCCAGCCATTACACTTGCGCCATCTGGCTATAGTGCGGGACACAGCACTTGAACGAACTATTACACATTACGTTCATTACACCGCTCTAAGTTTCCAGGCACTAGTCAACGCAGGAGATGCGCTCTGGGAGGCGGTCGAATTCCGTCCGAAGGATGCCAAGGACGAAAAGATCCGACCGCCCCCTGTAAATGCCATGCCTCAGCTGGATCAATATGCATTACCCTTGGACCGTCCGGGAAAGGAGGTGCTAAAGGGCGGTGATGCCTCCCTCCTGGAATGTATCCTCGTGGCTGAGCCGCCAAACTATAATTGCTCCAGCCGTGACCCTGTGGCAGTGCGGCAACTGGATGGGAGCTATAGAATTGAGCAGCGACTCAAGGGCGCCGCTGGCGTTGGGGCCAGCCCGCTACGCCCTAGGTCTACGCCAGTCACAGTCAAGAAAGAATACGCCGATGTCTCTGGCGATGAGATAGTTGAGCTGAAGCCTGCTAGACCACGTCTCAAGAAGCATGATCCAGAGCGATACAAAGGCATGTCCGAGAAGGAAAGGCTGGAAGCGATGGGATACGATGAGACATGGACAGATTACAGCGTCTTGCTCATGGAACGACTAACACCCGGCGTGTACGTCACTCCACGTGGTCGACGAAGGGCGGCCGGCAATCGACAGGGACGCCCTCGTGCTAGCAGGATTGCTGTGTTCAAGTCTCCGAGACTGTCATCTTTCTCGTGGTTCCAGAAAGATCGTCTTGACCCGGACGGTGAGACGGCGATTCAATCCCGAATAACGCCCCAATCACTGCGTCCGGTTGAAACGCCTGGGCTCACGGTGGCTGATTCGGGCACGGCACTCGGCTCTCCAACACCTTCCACAGCTGATCAGCCGCGAGGGAGTAAGAGAAGCCGACAGCAGCGCGATTCGGATGCGACACCCGAATTAAGAACTGACAGCGCACGGAAGCAAAGGCGAGTCGACGTTGGAACCTCCCAAACTGGTGCAGTATCCGTCGATGCAAACAGTAGCAGCCTTTCGGTTCAAACTGAAGTAGAAAAGAGTCCTTACAGTCGAATGAGCCCGGTCACAGTAGATCAGCGCACGAAACGAAAGCGAGCCGTTTCTCCGAAAGATGGGGACCAAGCGATGACTGATCTTGCTGAAACTGCGAAGGGTGATAGTATTGTTGCGACACGACGTTCCCCGCGCAAGAAAAACTCTAGGACAATTGCAAGCGAAGTCAGTCCGTCGCCAAAGAAACCCCGTGCAAATGATACCCTGCGGAAATGGCTCGCAACTTCGCAAACACCAAAACGTCCAACCGAGAATCACGCAGGTGCTGCGCAGGCAGCAGACCATCATACGACCTCTCAGAGTAGTGAGAAGACACAGAGCGATGAGATGGTTATTTCTACCGACTCCAACACGGCAAGCACCACAAACGCGGACGTACAGCCGGCTGCCGATCAAGTCGAAGTCCCGTCACCGTCGATATCTCAAATTGCACCGGAGTCAGAGCAGGTGGAAACCCCAACACAGCAAACGAAGGATAATGATCGAAAACTCAGAGCAGGGAAAGGAGGATCTGTCGCCGTGCTTCGCCGGCAAATCGTTATGGATATCATCGACCAGGCTGGAGGAGCTTACCCAATGGGGACAGAACTTTGGTACCCATTTATGACTGCATGGCAGAAAACTCGCTACAAGGAGGTTCCCGATCTCCGCACGGTCAGAACAGTGGTGAAAGGACTGGTTGATGCTGGCAGGCTGAGCCAGCTAACATTCAGTGGACGTGACAACAAAGGTGTTATGGTGACAAAGAACATTGTCTACAAAGTGGAGATGCAGGCCGATGATCCTCTGATCGAAGATCTGCAAAAGAAGATGCTGGCGGCAGACCGGTATTACTTTCCTCCAAACGTTGATGTCGATCCGGAGATCAAGAAGAACGGCAGCAAACGTAAAAAGATGGAAGGAAAGGAAGGCCGGCACACAAGTCACTTTCCCTTACTGCCTGACGAGCTTACAGTGCAACTGCATAAAAAGCCTGCGTCTGTCGTTGCGATAGAGAAAAGGCGAGATATGGCCATGCGGAGGGAACTGCTCGAACAACTTGCTATGGAGGAAGATTTCGATCCATTCAGCGGCTCGGAGATTGTTCGTCTTATGACATTCCGACGCCGGGCAGGAAAGAACGGGGCTCAGGGATTGACCTCCATCACCAGGCCATATCCGCTGAGAATGACCAAGGAGGAGCGACAGCTGCAAAGACGTCATGCACTAGCCGGGTTGGCCTCGATCCGCAAAATGCGGCGCCTTTGGTCATCGCTTGCTCCGTACTCGATGCTTATGAACACCAGGTCAACCTTCATGCCCACAACTGGGACATTCTCGACCGAAGCTGGTATTCCGGCACTTCAGGCTGCAAAAGACCGTGCCAAAGCAGCAGCAAGAAAGCAGGTACTCATCCCTGCAACTGAACTACCGCACTCCTTGGAAGACATCCTTAAGTCTCAGAGGCACAATTTCGATTACTCTACAAGTGATGACCCGCGCGCACGCCAGTTCTTTCATGAGACCAACACCATTTCTCGGTGGGAGATTGAGAATGAGGATTTGCTTGCGCGCAAGAGCTCCGAGATCACGTTCATCAATCAAACGGTACCGAACCTAGAGAGCTCCGGCATTGAAAGTGGCATTCGGTTTGATTTTGATGAGAGCTTTGGGGATATCATCACACCGCGATTGTCTGTTATTACTCGTCAGCGACGCCGACGGTCGGAAGCCGCTTCAATGGCACCTCAGAACCGCCGAATAGCCAAGTGGGATGAGTCCATGGCCGGCGATGAGAATAAAGCACTCATGTCAAGTCAGCAGCTCAACAACCGGAACACATTTCCTAAGAGGAACCGGGCTCCATTGGCTCCCGAGATGGTTCGAAGAATCATGGTGGCATTTGCCGTTGTTCGAAGTCTGGCGGGAGGGTCGGATGCACGTCAGATCGACTGGACTCTTTTGTTCCATTGCTTTCCTGACATGGAACAGGATATTGTGGCTGAAAGAAGCCGTCTCGTTCTCAACAAATGCCGTTTGCAAATCGTCAAGATGCAGAGTGACTTTCACGAGAGGTTTCTTGATGCCTATGCCAAAGATGAAGTGCCACGCATTGACTACGATGATCTATACGGTTACGACTGGGAGGGAGTAGTCGATTGGGCGATGCATCATCTGGAATTACCCAAGTCTGAGAAGCTACCTGATCTCCCAGCGACGAGAGAGCAGCTTGATAGCATGTTCGACGTGCGAGAGGAGCCAACAAATCCGCTGGACGAATTCTACCACGTCAGTCAGTCGATCACTGTTAGCCGCAAGCGCGCCTTGGCTGCCGCTGTTCCGTTTGCCATGCCCTTGAGCAACAAGATGGCTCGGGCTCGGCCCCGGAAGGCCGAACTGGCCCGTCTGGATGTAGCGAAGACGTGGGTTAGAGCAAATGTCGTAACTCCAGATGAGACCTACCGCCCCATGGAGGCACGGCAAAGTCTAGAACGATTTGGGGAGCCCTTGGTCCACCAGGCGCTGCAGTCGCTGGTTACAGAACGCGCCCTAAATATGGGCAATCGGGGCCGCATCACTCCAGGACGCAACTACGATGTCACGGAGTATTTCTTACTCGCTATCAGCAAGAAGCGGGCCATTGAGAGTTTCCAACTGCGCCGTGCCCATAAATTCAAGACGGAGGTCTTGGATCCCGCTTTCCAAGACCAGGGACACGCTGAGATCGACTGGAACGCGGACGACGGCGACATGCTCGTGGCTATCAACCTACTCTGGGCTGGTCGCGTGCTCCTCAAACCGCGTGACCCCCCTCGCGACAAGTACGGTCTAACGGATGGTGGGTATCTGACTCGACAGATGGACAAGAAGAAGCTTCAGTTTACGGTTGAGATCTGGCCGACGGATACTTATGTGTATGGAAATCCCGTGCAGGAAAAGGCCAGTACACTGAAACCACCGCGTCTGGTTGAGGAGATTGATCCGGCGACGTCACTCCCCGCGAAGGTTCCACTGTGGTATGATATCCATGGGGACTTCGTGCGAGTTCTGTGGGATCTGGCGGTGGCATCAGTGGTGAGCTGTGTGGCGCAGAGGCCTGGCATCAGCGCTTCTAGCATTGCAGGGATGTTGAAGCCGACGGTGGGAGGATGGGAGGTGCAGCTCTTATTGGAGTGGATGAAGAAGGTTGGGGCTATGAAGTTGGATTGGACGAGAACGGACAAAGCACACGATGAGGATGAGCCAGGCTGGCGGACGGACGAATGGTGGTATATGGTGTTGGCTTGATTTAGGGGGGAGATCTTGATCTAAAGAGCTGTAACTATAGGGCGTTTTGGATGAGAAAACTTGTTGCTTTCTCGTGTGTTATCCTAGCCATAGTCTCTTGTGTCTTGTTCCATGTATCACTATTCCGAGCAATTTTTGTTGAAACAGCAAGCAGCCTGTCACAGTGACCATCTCTGGAGTTCTTTGCTAGAATATCGCGACAGTAACAGCAGCATCACAACAAACAGCTGTCGGCAGCAGATTAGCCACGCACCTGCTCACTTATTCACTTGACATCGAAAAGCCACCCAACAAGCGCGACCACGCCTCACCTCAGAAGTGTCATGATCCCCCTCTTTCTTGTTATCGGACTCTTTACCCTCGTCATCATCCTCACTCTTTCACTCTACCACCTCCTTCCTTTCACTTGCCCTTCATCGACCCAGACAACCCCATCCCCATCACCACCACACTCCTCACAACAACACCATCACCACCACCACCCGAACCCAACAACCCAAAGGCTCACCCCTCTCTTCTCAGAATCAGGATCAGACCCAGAATCAGAACGAGGAAAAGAATCCCCCAGAATGACTCGCAAGAAGAAATCCCAAGCCCGCAAGATAATCACCAGGCGCGGAGATCTTCCCAAGAAACCACCACCCCCGCAACCGCAACCGCTACCACCACGACTACCAGGCCCGATCCCCTCCATCGAAACACCCACCGGTCTAGCTCGGGCTCCAGCTCCAGCTCGACCAAACGCGACCAACCCACCCCCGAAATCCCACTTCGCATTCTCCTGGTGGCGCAACCCAATGGGAAGAGAGATGCTGCGCGGTCAGCTTGCTCACGGCAGTGGTGGCCATCTTGCCCAAAGCAATAGCGGTCCGATTCCTCAAGACCATCGTGGTTCAACTGCCCAAGGCTATAGCAACCAGGCTGGTACAGGGACAACTGGCAACGGCAACTACGGCACCGGCTGCATCGTCAAGCGCGAGGACGGCGGGTATCACGAATACGAATACTTCACTCCAGCCCCAGCGTATCACACGGGGTATGTTGGTGGTTTGGGGAGTACTCCGATGTATACCAATGGATATGCAGGCGGGTTTGGGACTGGTATCATGGGTGATGGTGGCGGTCGTCATCAGCTGCGGGGTCTGGGGGCGGGTGTGAAGGAGGAGTTTAATGGTGTGTCGTATGGGGGAGATGTGGGCTACGGGGTGGAAGATGTCAAATCGTTCAGGGAGGAGGGCAAGCCGTTCGGGGCAGATAATGGGGACGAGTACCGCCAACCGTTCAACGCAGAGTACGAGCACGAGCACGGCAAGGCATATGACACCAATACCAACACCGGGGCAGGGCACGGCGCAGAAGCAGGATACCACCCGTCTTCCGCGATGTCTTACGTCTCAGGGCATGGGCCTGCTGCCTCCTCCGCCATCCATAACGCGGGATATACTGGGCTCATGAGCAGAGACGGCGACGGTCCCAGTTACGGCGACGACAATGACATCCAACCCATTGATCCTCGCCATCTCGAAGAGACCGACAGCGTGAAGAGCACCACCCCCGATCTGACTCGCAACTGTGTATTCTGCGGCAGGAATGGGCATTCGACTGGGGCGTGTCCGGAGAGGTGGGGGAATACTGATAATGGTCGTAATGACTCGAGAGCTGTGAGTTTGTTTACCTTTTCTGCATTTGCGTAGGGCTACAACACGTCGAAAACATGCTAATACGAATGACAACAGGCACGTCAACCAGGGACTGAACGAACCAGAACCACGCGAAACCGGACGCGAACTATCCAGCGCAAACTACGACAGCACCCAGGGAGGGAGACACAGAAGGAGGTGGAGGAGGAGCGGGAGAAGCTGGATGCTCTCCTTCGCGAGGCTCAGGATCTGGAGGAACGTACTTCGCAACTGCTGACTCGAGACGATCCGCCGGTGGATTTGGATGATGTTCTACGCCGGATTATTGAGGATATGAAGTGATATCTGGTTGTTGTTGCGCGCGCCCTGGAGTCGTCAGAGATCGATTGGGTATGTGCAAGATCTGATATCGTTTGGTTTATTAGTGAACTGAAGGTGCAACTTTAAGTTACCGACATCCTGGTAGAAGGATACAAGTACAATACAAGACAACGCCTGGGCTTGATAATGTCCCATAAACGCCAAGATATCCCATCCATGCTTTTGTATGGGCAAGAAATTATTCGTCTCTGGCGATGCGCCGGAGGATCATGACCACCAGGGCGACGATCACGCCGACGATAGCCCGGTCGAGCCAGGGTGTATCGGGGGATATTTGCTGCTGCTGTTGGTGTTGAGGTTGAGGTTGAGGTTGGAGCAGTATCTGGCGCTGCCGAGGTGTTTGGTCTGGTTGTTGCTGCACAGCTGGTAATTGTGTTGTTGATGTTGGTGTTGATGCAGCAGCAGCAGCTGATGTCGAGGTAGTAGTAAGCGTCTGTGCATCCTCTCCTCCAGAAACCACTGTATCAGACTTCAAAGACCCTATCGTCGGAGGTTCAAGTTCCTGATCTCCCTTCCCCACCTCCTGCTCCTGCTCCTTCGTGTTCGTCTTCTCCAGATCCGCAATGTCGCCTTCACCCTCCTCCCCTTCCCCCTCCCCCTCAACCCTCTTCCCACCACCAACCCCAGAAACATCCACCCCCCTCTCCCGACAAAACCCCCACCACGCCTCCAAAACCTCCAAATTCGTCCTCCCCGCCTGCTCACCAGCCCCCTCCTCATCCCCCTCCTCATCCTCCCCAAAGATCTGCCCCTTACACCCCTCACACCTCCACTCCCTCGACGCAACCGCATACCTCCTCCGCACCTCCTCCCCCACATCCAATCCGCCCACCTGGCCCCTGGCATCCCCATCCATAAAGCTCCGGAGGGCGATCAACGCCGTCCGGATTCCCCACGCCGGCTGCCACGTCTCCTCATGGTGGCCCGAGATACTGAGACAAATCTCGCGGTTGACCTCGAAGCGGCCGGAGGGGGTCAGGAACCGGAAGGAGGGCGGGCGCAGCGGGTACGTCGGGGGGAGCACGATCCGGCCGTGGTAGATCCCCTCGCTGTATGGGGAGGGCGCCGGCGGGCCCTGCAGCGTGAAGTGCCAGTCGTATAGGTTGGAGGCGCTGATGGGCGCGGCGTGGAAGGTTGGGTCGGGGTTTTTGAGGAGGTCGGCTTGTTCGCGCGTGAGGCGGCGGAGGGAGGGGGTCATCTTTCTTGAATCTTTTGTTGCGTCGTGGTGGTAGTGGTGGTTGTTTGGAGAGGTTGGTGGTGCGGGGGATGTTGGGTGGATGTGGATGTGAGGCGGTTTGGTGGTGGTGGTCGTCGTCGTCGTCGTCGTCGTCGTCGTAATCGTGACTGAGACTGTGGGTTTGGTGGAGAGTACGTATAGGTATGTCAAGAGCTGGGGGGGCAGTATTCTTGCTTCGTGCTTGGTGGTTTCAGGGTAGAGGTGTGGGTTGAGTTGCTGGGCGCATTGGATGATATGTACAGTAACTGTACTGTAGGTCCTGCGTGACAAGGCCGGCTTGAGTGATTGGTTTCCTTGGACGTTTGCTCGTCTTTGTTAATTGCATTAGCCAGTAAGTCTGGGAGATGATGAATTCAAGTCCAGTGGAAGTAGGTTTGTGGAAGGGAGCTGCAGAAGAGTTGTATGTTGCAGGTCAAAGTGGTGAGGGGAATGAGGAAAGGCCAACTGGCCTGAGGTGTCGGCCGGAATGTGGGCCAGGCACAATTGTGTAATCACAATGCATTCCTCAGCACACCTACTCAGTATAAAGAACTGAGCTACGGAGATGTTGGCGCAAAGCGTGGTCAAATTAAAAAGTACGAGGTAATCTTGATCAAGTGCGAAACCTCTCTTGGAAATTCCAACGCTTATGTTTCACAAGTGTTCCGTCTCAGACCACCCGCTACAAATACAACCATCCTGGTCGTGAGCTTGTCATATCTCATACTTATATATAGTCTTCCTAAGTGTACACCCAATTTATCAATCCCAGTTCCTCCATTCATCCTCTCCGCGCGGTGCTGCGTCCTCATCACTATCCTCCCCGTGTCGAAGACGCGGTGACACCGGTCGCAACGTCTTCATCGACACACCTGTACTGGGTCTCTCAGGATCTCGAACCACATCCAACGGCTGCTGCGGCGTCCAGGTAGCAGCCGGATTGGTAGCAGACGTCGCAGCGTCCGCCCCCATCCAGCTCTGGCTGTTGTTCATATTCCGTGCATACAAATCCCGATAATACTGCTGCTGGTCGACCGCCTCCTGTTCCCGTCGCGCCCGCACACCGTCGCGCGCCTCGAGGAACTTGGCGCTGGGTTCCCAGTGCCAGCCGTCGCCGGTGGTGGTACACACGGGGACTGGCCACAGCAGCGGGCGGCTTCCGAACAGATGCAATAGATTGCGCTTCCAGCCCAGATCGAAAGCATGGGGCATTTTCTCGCTGTCCTGCTCTTCCAGGTAGCTCTGGTACCGATCATGCTCGCGCTGCCGTTCCAGCTCCGCATACGATCGCGTCAACGCCTGCTGCGCGGGGGACAGATCCTCCCTCCCTGAGAAGTGCTGCGTGGCGCCGCCCTGCTGCGAAGGTCTGATCTCGTCCTCGCCTTCCTCCGCCCTAGTCACCCCAGGAATCGCGTTGGCATGCGCATCCAGAATCTGTCCGCCGTACTCCTGCAGCCGGTGACCCAAACCACTTACCCCAGCTCCATCCGGATCATGGCCTGCAAGCCCCTCGTAGCGATGGCGATCCAGCGCCTTCCGCAACGGCGAGACATACCTCGTCTTCTCCAGACACTCAATCGTGGTGACGCCCCGGACCGCCAGACTGATATGCCACGCCGTGAACCCCGACAACACCAACCCAATGATACCGCCCAGCACGGCCAACAACACCACATTGATGGGCAGCATCTTGTCAAAGTCCATGTACTTGCTATCGTCCAGCATCTCGTTCCAGATCCACGTCGACGCAACCAGAAAGTCCACCCAGCAGAAAACCGAGGTGTATATCAGAAACAGTAGGAACGCCTTGTAGTTGTAGAGCCCCACGCATGTCGCCAGCCAGGGACAGTGGTGGTCCATCTTCAGCACGCACCGCTTGCAGGTCGAGCAGTGGTGCGCCCGGTCGGGCTTAGGGCATTGGCACTTCTTGCAGAAGCGGGACCCACCGGTCGAGTTGACCGTGTAGGCCGTGTACTGCGGGAGTTCGGTGACGGGGAGGGCGCTGTATTCGTGCTGGCTGCGGCTGTTCGATGGCTTGAGGGGGGTGCCTGGGTCGGTGAAGACGGCGACCGTGTAGCAGGTATTAAGGCAGATATAGAGGAAAATCCCAAGAAAGGAACTCGGGAGGCCTGTCATATGATGACGGGTCATTAGAAATGGAGGGTTGGAGTCCTGTAGGAAAAGAGCCTCACCGATCCAGCTGCTCTGCACCGACTTGAAGCCGACACTGGCCTCCACCCAGACGGCCCACGTCGTCAGGCCATAAACAAAAGCGAGAGGGAAAAACGACGCCGCGGTGCAGCAGTAGCGTTCAATGCGCAGCGCCCATGCCCGCGGCCGTCGCTTCGGCCACGACGGCGATAACGGCGGTGATGCTGCTAAGGTTGCCATGTTTCACAAAGTGGCCGGGGTCGAGCTGCCGATCGGTTCGTTCAGGGCGATCAAATCATGGCAGCCAGTCCCGGATAGAAGGAGAATAAAGTACTCGAGTACGATAGGAGGATGCTGGGATACTAAGAGAAGCGAAGCAAGGGTGTATATCTTAGCAGAAAAGGCATCGAACAAGAAGTGCAGTGAGACACGGAAGACGTAGAGGAGGCCGTCGGCTGACGGATCATCGGCGGTGATTACGACGCTGCGGATGCTTACGGTAAGTTACCGTACCGAGCGAGTTCCGATCTGTCACCGCCACACCCGGTAGATCACATGCCCACTAGTGATTTGGATATATTGTGGCGCAGTCACTCATACTCTGTACGTCTTGCTGGCGTCTCATATAAATATAGGTCAATTATGTTCGTAATGCATTCGCTAGTCTACCAGAGATACTATATGAACATGAATCACTGCGGCACTGTCGCACAAAGCCAGGCCTGCGTCTTCTCCACTAACGCCGTTGAATAATGTACTGGAATGGGAAAATGTCAACCAGATCGCATAGAGGGATATTCAGATGTAAAAATCATATGCCCAAAATTCCAAAATGCTATATATCGAACATGCTCAAGTCGAATTCTCTTCCGTCGTGATGTTACCTTGCTCGCACCAGTCCTTGATCGGCTAGCGGGATATTAGTATGGAATGCACAAGACACATCCAGGGGGAAAAGACTCACCAGACAACTGAGTCGGTAGCACCAGGAGCAGTTTGATTTCGGGTATTTGTAGAAATCAATGATGAGCAGGATGAACCCGACCAGCACGGCAACCAATGCTCCCACACGCACCAACCACCATGCCCACCACAGAGGCTTTCGGCCGCGGAAAAAGTTCATGGGGTTCGATTTTCCGTCGGAGGACTTCAGGCTGCGCTTGCCCTTGAGGAAGTCGACGATGCTGGGGGCGGGAACCACCTTCTGACCTTCCTCTGGAGTGGTCGTGCCCACGCCACCGCTCATGGCCACATATGGGTTCCGTGCGAGCCCAATACGTTCTCGCAACACGTTAGGCGATCTCAAGAGACACAGTCCCAGAGCCAGACCCATGGTGAAGCCGCCAATATGTGAGAAGTTGTCCAGTCCTGGCAGAAGTCCCAGAACAAATGACACGCCAATTCCTAGAACCATAATGATCAACTCGACCCACGGCGACTGTCGGTCTTGCCAGCTGTACAGCAGATCCAGTAAATCGAGTGCGAGGATGCCAAAAAGTGCACCCGAGCAGCCGCATGATGCCTGACCCTGAGCGGCATAATTGCCTCCGAGCACGAATCCCCAGATCCCACTAGCCAGATACACCAGAGCATATCGCCACCACCCAATCATTTTCTCCATGGCCACACCGATGGTCATCTGCGCAAGCAAGTTGAAGCCAATGTGGATAAATCCGCTGTGAATGAACATTGGAATGATGAATCGGAACCATTGGTTTGGCTCAGGCTGATCGTCCAGCGATCCATTGGGCGTCGGGTTTGGCACACCGTTGAAACCACACAGTTCAGACAAGGTACAGTGAGACTCGGTCGTCGTCGCGTTGGGGCAGGGAAAGAGAATCGTTTCGTTGGCATTCTGGATGCCCGGTGTATTCTTCATACACGGAGTGTATCGAGATCCCATGTAGATCTGGAGGTAGGGAGAAGGACCGATCATGACATTGAATGACGGTTTAGTTTCGATCGGGCTTCCCGTAAGTTGAGCTGAGCCGGTCAGCATAATACCCTTGATGCTGATCCTAGGAACCTACCGTTCTTGACCAACTCCACGATGAAGACAATGATCTGGATCAAAGTGAGAGTATAAGTGACCCAAGCGATCTTCCTTCCAAAGAAACCCTTCTTCTGTGTTCGTCGAGCGCCAGGGCGCATGGCAGGCTCGATCTCGTCCGGCGACGGCGGATAATGCGTTTGTTGTTGCATCCAGTTTGCAGGAGGCGGATGGCCATTTGGATACTGGTTGTTGGCCTTCAAGGGGATATTCTCGGCATACTGTTCGCCCTCATTCAATCTGGCGCCAGCGGCATAGGCCCCCTGGTCGGAACCCAGTGATTGTTGACTGTAGTGAAGCTGAGGATCGGAAGTGGTGGGCTGGTAAGGATGTGTATCGAACCCCGGATGACCAGTTGCCGGGTATTGAGCTAATTGTGGATTGACTTGTTCGTAAGTTGGCGGGTTGCTGCTGTAGCCACTCTGATAGTAGCTGTTGGCCGCCATGTCGAATGGACAGCCTGACTGGTAACGGGCGCAAGGGGCCGGGGGGGGGGGGGGGAAGTGGTTGGTTGTTGTTTGGCTGTTGCGAGCGGAGGGCTGGTTTCGGGGGAATCAAATCGGTTGCTGTGCCTCAAACAAATCCAACATGCAGGAGATGAAAGTCGATCAAGTCGATGCAGGATATTGACTGGGGTAAAGGAAGGCAAAACATTCAGCAGCTGGCAGGCAAGCAGGCAGGCGGGCAGAAATCACGGGCACGTTTGGCTATTAAACAGCTGAACAGGGCTGAAACACTGATCAACAATGAATTGTAACTTACTATGTAAGTTTGGTTGGTTGTGACATAAAAAGCAAAGGCAGGTTCTCCCCCTGAGCCGTCAATGAAAGCCGGCGGGAAAATCAGAAACAGTGACGGATCGCCCCCAAAAGGCGCACTTGGTTTGCTATCCTGTCAACAATCCTTCTCCGACGGATGTGAGGAAATTGGATCACCAGAACACTCAAAATGACAGGAGAAAAATGGGAACGGAAGAGCAGAGACAACTTTGCGGAGGACGGGAAAGAAGCAGTAATTTAGGCAGGCGTCATTTGTACTCAAGAGTCAAGACTGACTTTCCTTTCCGATGGGCGGGCGCGCTGCCGCCTATTTTTGGGCGGCGATCACCAAAAGTCCATTGGAACTCATCATCGTCGTCAGCCATAAATGGTACTGGTAGTCTGGTACGAGTATGCAGGCCATATTGATTGATTCATTACACACGAAAGTCATCGCTGACCTGCGGGCCACGCACACTGCTGGGGCCGAGACAGTCATGTTCTGGCTAGGCACGCTGTGGCGGAGTCTTCCTCGTTTCCCTCTACGATTCCCATTCGTCTACTCGTGCTATAGAACATGTGGCACGGCCGGTAAAACGTCGCGTCACCGGCTTGGCACTTACACTACATATCTGGTGGCTGGTGTCCGCTCTAGGATCGAGCTTTCTTCAATTTCAATAAGGAGGAGTACTTAAAGTAGTGACGCTGCAGGCAGACAAGAGGCTCGTGCACACCTGGATTCTGCACACACACAATCAATTGCATCCCACAGGTCACAGATGGGTTCGTTCATATTTCACATTAAGCATTATTTCACATCTAACAATACCCACTTGCTCTAATCCACATGGTGGTCGCCTATACATTGATGTATGGTAGGGTTGAGCTCAAGTACATGTGATCTCTTTTCCTTTGACCTTGGACCCAAAAAGCCAATCAAAACCAGAGGATTGTACTTCCAGTGGACGGTTGACACGCATAAAGAAGTGTCAATGATGAGGGCCAAATCTCTCCGTCATGTTCCGCCTGGGTTGTCATCCTGCACGCTTGACACGCGTGCTCACATTATTTAATCCGATGTCTTCCGTCAATTCATTATGTTCGGACGGCGCACCCGCCGCTACCGATTGTTTATCATATAATTCCCAAAACGCCGGGGTTGAATTCCCAAATATGAAGCAAAGGTGGCACTCGGGGATCTGTCAAGGCTGTCAGCTTCGAATGCGGAATCGCGCAACTGAAGGTACCAATACTTCTCTTACCTTCATTGTCGATCCCTGGTATCCTTATACCGAAATAGAGGCGCGGAGGCAAATCACACAAAGCAAGAGGGCAATCGAAGGATCATAGCCATGACCCTCTCCATAACTCAATCGCGAATGATGCGCTTTTAGCTCGAAGGCGTAGACATGGAGTTGACGTGCGAATCGATGATCCCCAAAGCAGCCCCCATTTCCTCTCCATTCTCGCCAGTCAACAGCCAAATAAGACGGCTGGCCTTCTGGTATAGAAGCGCAGGGAAATAAACCAGCAGGGCCCAGAACAGGAGGGACAGCACGACAATCACAAAGGTGTTAGCCACCAACTTCTCTCCCGGCGTCATGACATAGAGCCCGAATGTAACCTCATAGCGATAGTATTCTAGGCGAATGCGATCGATAATCCGCTGCAGGACGTTCCGGTGGGCTTTCTTCATCGACAGGTGGCTGACGGCGGAGGTTGAGGTCGACATTGTGGAGGAGTATTTGTTGATTAGCTCATCCACGGCCGCCGGGGCATGGGACGAGATGTGGGTGGAGGTGGAAGGGGTATAGAACGACTGCATCTCGGTTGCCATCGCTGCGCGGTTGCTGATATATACGTCGGAATGTCAAGCTCAGGGGGATCGAGGTTTCCTGAAGAGGAGGTTCCGTTCCTTGCAATTCCTAGTCCGTAGCCTTGCCAATCGCACTCCCTTCCGTGACCAGCCGAGCAGGCGGGTAAACGGCCGTCAGAGGTTTGGCGGTGCTGGTATATGATCTACGTTCGAGCTCGCGTTTCGCCGTTGTCTTTACACTGTAGACAACCAGACACTCCCCCGAGCGCTATTGAGCACAGCTGATAGAGGAGCTCTGAAGTAGCAGTGTTGTTGAGCAGAGTTGGGTAGTGAGATCGACACCCGATCGCGAAAGTGCACAGATGCAGATCAGTTAAAGCTCCCCCAACAACAAGAATGATATGGTGGTAACAGCAACGGCAACTAGAAAAAGGACTCAAAGAGACAAGAGGTAGACTATAGATACGGAGAGCTTGAGAAGAAGGGAGGAGGATAAATTAAGTAGAGAAGACTGCGAGGTGAAAAGAAAGAAAGAAAGACAGAGCGAGCAATTGAAGGATCCGGGTTCGGTAGAGCGCGGATCAAGAAAAGCGGCCCGGAGTTAGTGATTGGAAGGACGAACGAGTTCTCAGGCAATAGTCAGAGTTTCTAATTTTCTTAGACTGTTATTTCTTTCAAGGAGGATGATGCTGGCTGATGCTAAGATAGCCAAGAGTCAAGTAATCATTAATCAGACCAGGCTCGGTGTCGTGGGGGGCGCCTTTTCAAGGAACGATACTCAGATCAGTAGTTGCTGAGAAATTAAACCTGCAGAGGGCGCCGCGATGTGCCTGAGGCTGCGTGATGATTGGCCGCAAACGGCCTTCCAGCGTCATCGTCGGTCTCAAGTGGGCATTGTAAGGGAATTCCCGCCCGGGCTTTTCCCGCCCGGGCTTTTCCCGCCCGGTCTTTGGTTCTTTGGGTCTTTGGGTCTTTGGTTCTGCTGATTTTTTTCCTGGTTCCCAGTTCCGGAATTTACCTGATCTGGTTTAGAGTCAGTCAATTAGTCGTGGTGAGGAGTTGAAGACTTTTTTTGTTTTGGAGAAGTAAAGAAGTACGTAGTGCCACTATGAGTATGTTAGTTCAGGCCGCGACTGACCCTTCGTCCAGTACGGTATTTGTAGTCCCCCATGGGGATGAAATTCGGAGGAGGAAGGGAGTCAATGTCAATCCATGCCTTGCATGATTCAAAACCTAATGCTTCGTACTCCATACTCACATATGATAACTCACCAAGTAACTAGTTAGTTATTTACCGTGACGACTTCCGGCAGCGTGCCTCCCTCCTATCTCGGGAAACCGGCAAGCGGATGTGATATCCGACTGCTCGACCACTTTGGGTATCATTCCTCGCAGCCCTGAGAAAAGAATCATGAGATTGGAGTGGAACAGGCTCCGCTCCTGTCGAGGCCTCGATGAATCACAATGAAAGCTTCAAAGCCTCTTGATTGATGCATTCTTCATTTTATGGATGAGTCAGCCACAAACGTGTCAAGGCGTCGCAACGCTCTAATTCTAGCCTTGATTCAGTATCTATGCAGGTTTATTTATTGTTAGGCACACGAAAAAAGGAACGGGAGATCATCGTGGAGACTCAGCGGAATTGTCACTGTCTCTTTTGTGCAGGTGGTCTGGAGAACCCCGAGTTTCGTTTCGTTTCACCTCGCAACAATGGGCGCCGGCAACTCAATTCCCCAATCTTGAACCTGGCCGGGTAATAAGAATTGTTGACGATGATCGACTTACTCCAAGTTTACTGGCCGACTGGTGGCAGGGATGAAGAGCTTGCGCCTGATCTGGCACTCAGCACTTTCTTGTCAGCTCGTGTCACTTCATCTATCCTTTCATTGCAGTTTACTTAGTATGTATTATACGTACTGCGCATACGCCTATCGATGGGCTAGACAGCCCGGGTGATGTCATCCCCACCTATCGTTTCAACCGTCCCGCTTCGACTCCGTCGACAATCGTCCTTTCCCTCCTTTGCTGCATCGCATCTCACTCGAAGATCTCGCATGATCCATCACCATTCCTTTCCCGCAATCTCTGTTTATCGCCATGGCTGAGGTCGACGATCCTCTCATTCAAGCGTTGCCTCCTGCGACCGACTATCTGACCTACCTGACTTTGCTCGAATACCAATTGACCCCCGCCCGTCTGCCTACCCTGCATACACTCCTTCAGGATGAGGTGCTGACGACCAATATCGGCTGGGACCTGGTGCATCTGCTCGTACCTATGCTGCCTGAGTCTTTGGACTGTCTGCATGATATTGCTCGCCTGGGAAATCCTAGAGAGGTGATTCTACGGGTTTCGGATGCCCTGATGAAACTGCAACCAGCCGAGGACGAGAACGACGAGGCTGAATGGACAAATGCGGACTCAGTATCACCTCGCCCGCACGGGGAGTCATCGCAAGATGTAAACAGCGAACCGGAGCCCAAATCAGACGACGACACAAAGCCCCTGCCTCGCCATATCCTACAATTCAACGCGCTCGTTTCCATGTTGTCGGTGTTGCACTCTCGCATCCAGACCAAGTCACCCAGTCGGTTCCTGGCCACATCCCTGCAAGCCTTGCTCGAAGCATATACGTTGATGCCTACGAGTGAAACTACAATTGCTTTGTTGGAATTCTTTCGGGATGTGTCGCCTTCGAAACGTCCGGCCCCGCCACCCCGAGCAGCCAGTGAATCCAGCGTGGTCCGTCTGTCTGAAGCTTCTGCGCCGGACCCGGAAGCTGAAGTTCAATCGCCATCTCCGGCCACTGACAATGAGGCGGTCTTGGTCCAGAGGTTTCTACAGTTCGGTTTGCTTGAAGTTCTCAAATCATACCTGCTCAGCTTTGCGGGTCCGCTTGACCCCGGAATGTCATGGACGATCCGGCTGCAAGAGAAACTTCATCCCGGACTGCGGATGGCCAGCCAACAGACGCAGACAGACATCTTTGCTCAAAGCAAACGACTGAAGGAGCGAGACTTAATCGTTGCCAAGATCACGGTACGGCCCGAGATCGAATCCTGGGGACCGTACTCAGTAGGTTGCTAACATCCATAGGCACTATCTCGCGACTTTGGTATTAGTGACAAGCAGCTGCTGGAAATCGCCTTGAAATCATCCGACGACCAGCCCCCGCCGCTGGATTTCGATGAGCCACCTCGCAAAGCGGACGAGATCCCCTTGGAAAGACATGGTTCCCTGCTGCTCCTCGCAGCACGGGCAGCCTCGGCGGAATTGTTCTCATCCGGCCGTGTCACCCCGACTGCTGTCTTCCCGGACCTGGCGCACATTTTTCGCAACTTTGTTGGGGGATACAACTCGCCTGATGAGGTGGCCTTCGGGCAGCCACAGGTCCTACTCGATTCACTACTTGCTTTGACTGTCTTCTCTATGCAGCAACCAATCCAGCCACCAGCCGCAGAAAAAGAGTTCATCGATTTCGTGCTATCCCTGACGGCATGTACTGCCCGGCAGAACTACAGTTCAGTTCGACGAATCCCGGGCACAGTTGTTCAGAGCAATCCCTCGCAAATCGCCCGCTTCAAACTCATTCGAACAGTTCTAGAGGATGATCGATTCCAGACTGTAAAAGACAGCGCCATTGCCTGGCTGAAAGACGGAATCTTGGAAGCGTCCAAAGCTTCCAAGACCGATGTGCCATCTGAGTCCAGCATATTCCTTAACCCGCATTATTTCTCTGTGTTATTTCCCTCGCTCTTCAACTCATCCGCCCTGCTTATGAATGTGTCATCCGACCTTGTGGCTTCATGGATTAAGTTCTCGCAGACCTTGACGCCATCAATTCACGCGGCACTCAGTTTATACTACCTTATCGTCTCGTCACCAGACCTACGCCGCCAATTGCAGCTGGAAAAGACCTACATATACTTCCGCAACCGCTTCTTGGAGCCGCTCAAATCCCTCTGCCATGCATTTGAAGCGGACCTCACGGTCAACGGGGGTGAGGGCAAAATCGAAGCTGCGGTGGGCGAGGACCTGACGCAGATCGGAATGGCACGGTCGGTGGGCTTGGTTTCCCATGCATTGGAGCAGGTGGAGGAGGCGGTGGGGGAGGCGTTTGTGCTGAGAGCTCGGAACTCCCTGAGCCCAGCGCCGATGATATCGCCCAGGTGGATATGATCCGGAAGGAAACCTCCCCTTAGGTCATCAGTAGTGTACATACATACTCACAGTATCGGATACGGCCGAAATATACGCCTCCGTATATATGATCATATCTTGTTTTGGTGATTTCTGCTCAGTGCTCCCAGGCGAGGAGAGTAGAGTGCAGATGGATTTCAGTATTTGCACGAGAAGTAGGGAGCATTCCATAGGAAGAGATGCAGAGGGAGAAAGGTTTAGGAGCAGCGACGTAGAAGTCGATACCATCTCGCTACTTTGGTGCGTATCCAGCCAGCCAGCCACGACGTGACCTTTTGTGAATAGGGTAGGTAGTCATCGCCCTTGCAATGGAATGTTTGCAAGCACGTTCTTGTCTGAGCATTGGTGGACCGGGTTGCTCGGTCCCTGGGCTTCAGCTGGGATGTATTGCACCACAAGATGTCAGACCATCTTGGCTCATCACTCTAGTCAAGTTCTCCGGTGGGATTCCGTGCTTAGCTTGTGACCCGTAGACCTGTACTGTACCTAGCGTATTCTTGGTCTATGGTTTAGTGCATTTTTCGGCAGTCCTGTTCTCGATGGCCCAACCGTCTTTTGAAGTGCCTTCGTCGAGTCAATGGAAATTCCGAGGCGGCGCTGGCTAGATAGCCCAAGGGGTGTAGCTTGTCGAGACTGGCTGGAGGGGGAAATGAAGACAAGCAGCGGAGGAAAGGTGGTCGACCATCTCCATTGGTCGACGGCTGCCATCTTCATTAATACCTCATTTCCGGCCCAGGCAGGCTTCCCTCTTTTCCCTTCGCTCTTTCGCTGCGTCTCCCCACCGGCGAGGTAAGCGATGACCCTTTCGTCTCTTCCCCACCTCCTTCACGATATTCAGCAGCATCATCAAGGAATCAAGACTGACGGACTTGTATTTAGCGTGGCACTAGTGGACCTCACTAACGCGGTTGCCGTGATGAATCGTCCACTTTGACTCCTTGACGGCCTGACCCCTCCGAGAAGAAAAGCCGTAACCGAGCCAGGGGCGGCGATTCTGCGGGGAAATCAGAGCCCTCTCGTTGGAGGAAACGGACTTGGCTCCCCGGATTTGACCTCATCGGAGAAGCTGGTCTGCTGGTCACAGTGTGCAGAACGCCCGCGCAGGGGCTCATGCAGGTCACACCTCGTCTAACAAGGTACAAGCCAGATGCCGACAAAGCGATTGGATGCCTGTGGCCAATGCATGTTCATGTCCGCTTCACATGCAGTCGAGTCGAACTCCCCCCCCTCACCCGGTGCTGGACGGCCGCCTCATGCGGTCTATAAAAGGCAGTGACTTTCCTACTGCCTAGCGATTCTTTTTTTCACTCCAGTCTCATCCTCTGTTCTACTCATTATCCCCGTGTTTCCTTTGCCTCGCCATGATCCGGCGCGTCTCCTATGCGCTTTGCGCGCTGGCTTTCAGCTCCTGGGCCACTGCAGCCCCGCAGCTGAATGCTCGCGCTACAGGCAGTGTCGACTCCTGGTTCGCATCTGAGACCACGGTCGCACTCGATGGCATTCTTGCCAACATCGGGGCGGATGGAGAGTTCTCCAAGAGTGCTAAGTCTGGCATCGTTATTGCTAGTCCAAGCACTGACAACCCGGACTGTGAGGAACTACTTTCTTCCTAGTTGTATGGTTGTCCGCTAACAAGGGGTGCGCAGATTACTACACCTGGACCCGCGATTCGGCTTTGACCATGAAGATTCTTGTTGATCTCTTCGTCAACGGTGAATCGAGTCTCCAGACGGTCATCGAGGAGTATATCAATTCCCAGGCTTACCTGCAGACGGTTTCCAACCCGTCTGGTTCTCTCTCGGGCGGGGCAGGTCTTGGAGAACCGAAATTCAATGTGGACGAGACGGCGTACACTGGCAGCTGGGGTCGTCCACAGCGGGATGGACCTGCGTTGCGAGCGACCGCTCTGATTGGCTTTGGTAATTGGCTGATTGTAAGTTCTTTTAATGAATTTCGAGTGGCTTGACTGACACTTTCAGAACAATGGCTACTCCACCTACGCGACGAACATCATTTGGCCCATTGTTCGCAATGATCTGTCCTATGTTGCTCAGTACTGGAACCAGACTGGCTACGGTTGGTCATCCCCAAACCCACTTCCCTACCAATGACCACTAACTCGAAATCATGCAGATCTGTGGGAGGAAGTCAATGGGTCTTCGTTCTTCACTGTTGCGGTCCAACATCGGGCACTTGTGGAAGGCAGCACCTTTGCTAAGAGTGTTGGCTCGTCTTGCAGCTGGTGCGATTCTCAGGCTCCGCAAATCTTGTGCTTCATGCAGAGCTTCTGGACTGGCTCCTATATGCTTGCCAACACCAACAGCGGCCGCAGTGGCAAGGACGCGAACACCGTGCTCGCCAGTATTCACACTTTTGATCCCGCCGCAGGCTGCGACGACACGACTTTCCAACCTTGCTCCCCGCGTGCGCTGGCCAACCACAAGGTCTATACTGACTCTTTCCGCTCGGTTTACTCGCTCAATTCTGGTATTGCTGAGGGCACTGCGGTTGCAGTCGGCCGCTACCCTGAGGACTCGTACTACAACGGTAACCCTTGGTTCTTGACCACCCTTGCAGCCGCTGAGCAGCTGTACGATGCTATCTATCAGTGGAACCGTATTGGGTCCATCACCATCACCAGCACGTCACTTGCCTTCTTCCAAGATCTGTACAGCTCCGCGGCGGTTGGAACATACTCCTCTTCCAGCTCCGCCTTTACCTCCATCATCAGCGCTGTTAAGACCTATGCTGATGGATACGTGAGCGTGGCTGTGCGTCCAACTTCCCTTGATCTCAAAGTGCCTTACTGATAGCCTACAGGAATCCCACGCTATGACCAATGGCTCTCTTTCCGAGCAGTATGATAAGACATACGGTACTCAGCTGTCTGCCCGAGATTTGACCTGGTCCTATGCTGCGGTCCTGACGGCCAACTTGCGCCGCAACTCGGTTGTGCCTCCTTCTTGGGGAGAGACGAGCGCGAGCAGTGTCCCCTCTGTCTGCTCTGCCACCTCTGCAACGGGTACCTACAGCACCGCTACCAACACTGCTTGGCCAAGCACGTTGACCAGCGGTAGCGCTGGCACCGGAACCACCACTACTACCACTAAGGCTGGCAGCGGTAGCACTACCACCACCACCACTACAAGCAAGACTTCAACAACAACCTCAGCCTGCTCCACGCCCACAAGTGTCGCAGTGACATTCGATGTGATCGCCACCACTACCTACGGAGAGAATGTGTTCATTTCCGGCTCCATCTCTCAGTTGGGCAGCTGGGACACCAGCAGTGCAATTGCATTGAGCGCCAGCCAGTACACCTCAAGCAACAACCTGTGGTATGCCACGATCAGCCTGCCCGCAGGCACTACCTTCCAGTACAAGTATATCCGCAAGGAGACAGATGGGTCCATTGTTTGGGAGAGTGACCCCAACCGGTCTTATACCGTTCCCTCGAGCTGTGGAGTGAGCAGTGCCACTGAGAGTGATACTTGGCGGTGATCGAGCTTGAAGGAGTCTTCGATTGTGGGGACTATCAAGCTTGTTCGAAATATATAGCTATAACAATGGCGGCCCAATGATTAATCACGGACTTAGTATTAAATCCTTGTCAAATGCAATGCTCTATTCCTTGAACTACGATCATGATTGCCTTCATTAGAAGGCGATGTAATGGCAGCCTTTCTCTTGATGATTCTGGAAAAGCAGATGGCACAACAAAATAAAGCACAGCCACTGGAGGGTTTTTCTTCACCTTCAGACACGTCCAGCCCGGTTATTTTAGCTATGAAACAGACAGCCTCAGGAGGCAAAGTATTCAGCAATCTGGTCAGAGTCATCGCTCGGAAGATATTGCTAGGATATCGTGACTTGCCACTCCACAAATGAATCCAGATACGAGTTTCCTTTTCGAAGCGGTATGCATAAGGTGATATGTATGCAAATCCGCATGCAATGAGCAAGGCACCGTTCCGCATCTGATCTATCCCATGGAGCTGCGATCCCGGCATTACCGTTTTGGAAAAAGATATTGCACTCATCTCACAGCTCATGCATCAAAGCATTGCAATCGCCGTCCATACACCGACAATCCATGCATTTCGAGAGCAAGCGTGTGGCGCACAGTACGAGCTGGGGGCTTGGTCGAGACACAGCATATAAACGCAACCTACCCCAACAGCTTCAGGAGATTCCAGCTCTTGTTCAAACCACCAATTGTGCCTTCTCCTTCTTGTAATATTTTCTTTTTTTCTTCTTCCTTGATTTCATTCTTTTGCAGTCTGCAACATTAAACCTCACGATGGACAACTATCACGCCTGCTCCTCGGTAATTAGTGAGTTCGAAGCGCGCAAAGCCGGCGCCTTCACCTCCCTCCCGATCCGCGTGAACCGCTACAGCGAGGTGGCCACCAAAGCTGCCCAGGACTTTGTGTGCAAATGGAACTGCCACTTCGATGTTGGGTCCAATTATCCCGGGTCAACATCGGCGACTCGCTTCGGACCGCGAGACAGCCCACTTGTCATGATCATCCCCGAGGCGCAGCCGGACAGACTGGCGACGGCGGCGTGTTTGGCTGAGATGGCACGACTGCTTGATGGTAAGCCCCTTCAATTCCTGTTTCCTTCTTGCGTGTGTGTGTGCTAAGGAGGAGGTGCTGATGGAACAGTAGACCTCTGCCATCGATTCGGAACTCATAATCGACACGAGGGCTTTGAGTTGTTGAACCGGTGCATCGAGCAATTCTCGGCCTCCTCTTCCTGCTCGTGCTCTGGATCGTGCGGGAAGAGTTTGGGAGGGGACCGTCAGCACCACTATCGCCACCACCACCACCACCACCACCACCATCATCGCCTTCAGCAGGTCATTTCGGAGATCTTCTCGGATGTTTGCCGGGCTGAGTGCGAGCACGGGGTGCATCTGCTTGAGGTGTATCGGAAAGCGATTGTTCGGGTTTCAACGCCACTGGACTGCAAGAAGAAGTTCGCCTTTGAGTGAGTTAGAGACTCTGGGAGGGTTGGATGTGTGATGACTGATGCCTTGTGTAGAGCCTTCTGGCCGATCTTGGAATTCGCCATCGGTGTTCATCTCTCGCACGTTGACCACATGCTTCTTCACGAAATCAAGGACGTCGCGGATGAGTGCCTCGCCTTAAACGATGAATACTGGAGCTGGACTGCAGGGTGCGCAGACCATAAGGCCGGGCGCAACATCATCGACTGCTTTGTTCGCGTGGAGGGGTTGTCGGTTGACGCAGCACGCGAGAAGGTCAGAAGAAGTATTCTTGAGCTCGAGAGCCGGTTCCTGTCCCTCAAGGACAGATTCTCCTGGCAACACCCGACCGAATCGATCCGTCTGCACCGTTGGATCGAGGCCGTCGGGGCGGCGATGGCCAGCTACAACTACTGGCGGGCGAATCTGTCGTCTCCATGCTTCAGCAGTAGCAACTGCGGCAAAGCCGAATGGACCAGCACCTCGTCTACCACCACCCTCATCGATCGTCCTTGCTCTCCTCAACTCAGCTACAGACTCCACCACAGCAGCCTCGAGAGCAAGACCACAGACACCACCGCTCTAACCGCTCCAACTACCTACATCAGCTCTATCGCCTCCACCCCGACCACCGCAATCCTGAACATGCTCCCGGCCGCGCTGAACTGCTGGGCCCGCGCGCCGGAACCCGCCCTCCAACACATCCAGACCATCTTCACCAACCTCCACAACGCCACTCTCATCCTCTGGGACATCTTCACCGCGAGCACCACCCGCCACAGCAGCCCGGCCACCCACATCGTCTTCGGGACCGCCCAGGCCACCAACAGCGCCTACTACGCCTTCACCCACGCCCTGCAATCCGTCCAGCACCACCCCCACCTCCTCAGCAACCCGCCGCAAGCCACCGCCATCCTGACCGAAGGTCTCACCAGACTCTTCACCGGCCAGAGCTGGGCCCTGAACTGGAAGTTCACGCACCACATCCCCACCGAGCCCGAATACCTAGGCCTAATCGACGATACCACGGGGGCACTCTTCTCCATTCTGGTCCGACTGCTGCAGTCGCAGTCCCGCTGTGCCCCTCCCTCGCCATCCCCATGCCATCCTCACAACAGCAGCAGCACCAACGACCCCAAGTTCCTGAACCGCAGCGACTCCCTCCTCTACCTCACCAACCTCCTTGCGCGATTCATCCGCATCCGCGAGGAGTACCTCTTCTTCACCACCGAGTCCACCACACCAACTAGCACCACTCCCTCCAAGCCTGGGGCAGAAAGCACGATAGGAGGATACAGCTACTCCTACCCCATCATCCGGCTCCTGAACACACGGCCCGAGTGCCGTGCGCAGATCACCGCGCTGCTATCCTCTTCTGCTGCTGCTGCGACTACTGGCTCATGCTCGTCATCGTACGCTGGTTCGTTCTCGGGTTGTGCGTCTCGTGGAACCAGCCCCTCGCCGTGCGCCTGCCCCCCTTCTACTGCGTCTTCTTCTTCCTCGTCTTGTTCCTGTCCCTCTTCAACTGGAGCAAACGGCACGGGCCAGGGCTTCGGAGCGTGCGGTAGTGCTATCCCGCCGCCGATGAGTGTCCCCGGTCTGTTGCACTTGCTCCGCGATTCAGGGGTGTTGGCCGCCACCAGGGAGTTCCTGCGGGATATGGAGGAGCAGATTGAGCGGGAGGTCGGGCGGTTGGAGGCCGGGGTGTTTGGCGGGGAGACGAATTCGTTGGTGCGGACGGTTGTGGGGCGGTTGAGTGTGCGGGGGATGGTTTGATCTTGATGTCTATGCAGGTATGTGAAGGCAGTAACGGTGAAGTGGGCTTGTATCAAGAATTTCCTTTGCGTGGGGAGGGGAGGTGAGGTGTACTCTAATTGCTGGGTGGTAGAGTGTATGTACGAAATGGAATGATAGTTGGGTATTTTGCTAGTTGTGCTCGATTGTGAGAAAGATTCTGCCAATTGTATCTATATCTTAGAAAACGGCCTTGAGTGAAAGCATACGCGGTCGAAGTAGAATTCTGCCCAGTGCATGAAGCTACTGTCCTCATCTATGGATCCAGCCCCACTCCATCCCTCTTCTCTCGCCCCTGGCCATATCTATACCTACTCCTCCTACACCAACTCCCAAAGCAGCACGGTATCTCTCTTTTGCCGCACAATCTGAAAGCCAGCTTCTATGTAAGCAGCCACCATACCACAACTACAATCCGACAAAATCTCTGTCACCATATGGCGAACCCCCGTATGAACACCGTCCAAACAAGAACCAAGAAGCTCCTTGGTCCAGTGCTTAAACAAGCTTAGCACCGGGGGAAGGGGCGCGAACCCGGGCTATTGGTGCACCGTACTCCATACCAACGAATGAGCTCGAAATCCCCTTCCCGAGAAGCGACTTGGCTTGGTCCACCTGCAAAGAACTGGTCTCGTGAGGCTCGTATAGCTTTCCAAGTTCCCCCAAAATATCTCACAGGTATAGCAATATACTGTACATCCAGCAAATACAGGCACCTAGTAAGAAATTGGAGCCACTCTGCATTTCGTGATATCTCCTCTTCTTTGTGTGGCAGCAATATTCTTTCTCTCTTTTTCCATGTGCTCTACACGCATTTAATTAACAAAAGTCATAACAAATCGAATCACTAACTGCTGGAACTCCCTGTTTCAAAAATGATCACCGAGTGCCAGCCAGGCAACAAATATCCCCCAGCGATCTCAGCACCACAACAGACAAGGTGATTCCATTCTATCTAGGCCCAATAACCCCAGTGCCCAACCCAAACAGTCAGTGTAGTATAAAAGCGTAACGCTGTAGTTACACCCCAATCCTCATAACCCAGTGTCCAACACGCAGAAAGCCACCACCTCAAACAAAACAAAATCCTCACACCTACCCCAACAAACCCTTCTCTCACACCTCGAAAAATGCACCGCTCATCCCCAGGAGCATCCACCCTCCTCCCCCTCCTCCCCCTCCCCTTGTCTTTCTATTGTGTGTGTGTGTGCGTGTCAAATTGACGGTGTGTTCAATACGACACAGATATGGAATACAACGGCGTCGCGATGGTCTGCGACGGCGGGACGGTGGGGTTCCCTTGCCGGGCTTGTGTCTGCGCGGTGGATCCGGTGCTTCGTAAGGGGGATGCGAGTGGTGGTGGTGATGGTGATATAACGACGGCTACGGCTACGGCTACGGCTACGGCTGCGCCCACGCCAACTCCTGGCAGTCTGGATTTCAGGGTGGAGGGGATTGGCGGCAGTTGTGCCGGGGTATTGGGGGGTGGGGGCGATGGGGCTTGGGGAGTCGGGGATTTTTGAGTAGACTTTTAGTACTGGGCGTTGCAGAAGGGGTTGTAGCGTCGATTATTCTTGGATGTCAGGCGTGTGGGTTATTGTATGACTGGAAACGAGAAACCGAGCCCTGGTGCTTTGGGTGGTTGCTGATGACTGCTTTCTCCTTTTCCATGTTTCTTCACGGGCATTATCGATTGGGTTTATTGGTACAGGAACCCATGATATGGGTATACTTCTTTCTCTGCTGCGTCATGCAGAGTGGTCATTAGTCTATATGCTGGTTCTCTTGCCTGGGGGTGATAAATGCGCAAAGTTGCGAGTCGAAAGAATAGATCTGAACATGTGGATTCATCCGTCAAAGTACTCCAGAAGGAGACTAGACTAAGCTGGTACTTGGCAGCTCAGGAACCAACATCAATTTCTTAACACATAGCTTACGGCCTTTACAACCCGGTCTAATCTCAAGAACAATTCAAGTGAGCCAGCCAACATATATTCAGAGAGACTATATCTAACCCAACTCACTCATCGTAAATTTATGTATAAACAAAACCAAAAACTCAACCCACGCACATCCTATCCAATTCAGAGAGGGTTTTCCAAGAGAGTTTAGACCAACAAAAACAGAAAAGAGACCGCAACACGACTCTAGATAAACAAGAACCCAAATCTTCCCGATTCCCTCTCCTAAACTAAAGCCTTCCAGCCCAACGCAGCTCCCCCCCTTTCTCGTCCAAGACACACGCAAGCGTAGTATATCATTTCTCGAATAAAGAACCTCGGAGGCGGAGTTGAAAAGAAAAAAGCGAAAGAATGGAATCCGGATAAGATGGTGATTGACCCCCCAAAGTTCTGTTCCAGAGTCCCACAACTTCTCAGGAAGAAGGTGGAAACCGACGTCGTGACTGGAACATCAGGGAGATCAACTTTTGCCCTCCACTAGACCTGAACCCCGTTTAGGCGCAACGGCACCAGGACTGG